AAATTACAAGTATTATCTGATTCTAGGGCAGATCCATCTGAAACATGGAAGATCCATCTGAAAGCTCTAAGCTAAAGTCTCTGAGAGGCTTTGTAATTGTTTTTCAAAGGAAAATTCTGTTTATTTGATTCGTTAATACATTTTTTTTTTCTCCAAAAGAAAGGGAGAAAAGTGTATATGTGGGGTTTTGTAGAAGTTTTCTCTTCTCATTTTGTTATAATTGAACGAGAAATTTTTGTTTCAAACTTTTTCAGCAATAAAGTTTTGGACAATTATTGTTTTGTGTAAATTTGTGTACATTTCATTCTTTATTCTTACTCATTGGAAATTTCATGATGAATTTCAAGAAATAAGACTAAATTGGGATTTGTTTTCAACCTCCAGCCTGAAAAATTCGCCAGTGTATGCTTTGTAAAATCCTTGTGTACACTAAATTGGTGATCAATAAGAGTGCTCAAGATTGAAAGAGGTCACTCAAAAGCCCAATGAGATACTTTTTCTTTCACTGTACAATTCATATTTTTTGACTTCTATTGCCAGAATAAAATCAGTCACATGATTGATAAATTGCAAATTGGGGCAACCTTGGCTTGAAAATGGCCGTTGTTGTTCTAAATAGATTCAACTCAACATCTAGTGAAAGCAAAATGTGCATTATTCTTGTTTGTTTTGAAAATTCGGAATGATACTTCGAGCATTCTTTTCTCTATATACAGAGTTTATCATTTGCTCTCCCGTTTGAGCCTTTAAAAGAATATTTCGTTTCAAATAAACGCCTTGATCACTACCCTACATGGAAAATTTTCAAACATCAAAAAGGGGAATGGATTTCAATGACCATTTCGTTACTTGGGTTGTCATGAGGTGTAAAGAATGATACTTTGGCCATCATTTTACAACCTAAACACTGATCTATCTTGCATCCTCATTTGAGCTAAAAATTGGTGGTTTTTTTCGAGTGCCACATATGATCGCCAGATTGGGAATTTTGAAAAAAAGAGAGAAAGAGAAAAGAAGCAAAAATGCAAAAAAGAAAAGAAAAGAGGAATAACAGATTGGAGAAATTTGAATCTATCTGGGGTCCAATTTGAAAAAAAAGAAAAAGGAAGAGATTTGTCCTGCGGACCGCCTATGTTTCACAAATATGGATGAGCAAGGGTCTTCCTCAGTCAGTTAATTCAAATACATGCAAAAAAAAAAAAAAAAGAAAAGAAATTTCCCATTAATGAAAGTTTCCTTTCAGAGTTATTGTAAGGAGCGGAATGAAAGTCAGGCCATCTTCTTTTCCAATCAAACATTCTATCTCTAGTTATCCCTTTTGAGCCTTCAGAATAAAATACTTCGTTTGGCAACCCCTGAGAATCGTAAACCCCACACTGGGGCAAGTTTGAGTTGAAAAGGAAAATTTCAAGAAGTGAAAAAGTGAAAGGCAGTAAAATCAAAAACAAAAGAAGAAGAGATAACCTCAGTTTACAAATAAACTGGGGCAAATTTTGTGAAAGTTCAAAAAAAATGGCAAAAGGCCAAAAGAAAATTCAATCAGAAAGAAAATGAAAGAGAAAAAGCCTCAATTGAGCATAAACTGGGGCAAAATCTGATTTAACCCTAAAATAGGGTTGGCATAACAATGCGATCTCAGAATTTTTAAACCACTTTTGAAATCCGTTTCAAGTTTTAACCTTTCTAAGCACCCCACCTGACCTCATTACGAAAGCCGAAAGTCCTGACTTCTGTTCTTTGCAATGGCCCTGTCAAGAAAATTTCTGATGCCGGAAAATTTTAGCTGTATTTCTGAATTGTTTGGGTATGGGGTTGACGCTACTCACCATGTGAAAATCCACCAAGTTGAGGGAAAGGGAAAAGAGGCAAAAAGCAAAGCAAGAAAAGTAAATGCAAGGAAAATGCAGAAAAATTCGACGCTGAAGTCCCTGGGGAATGACGAGAAAATCCAAACAAAGTCTGAAATCTTTTGAGTTCAAAATAGGGGCAATTTTGGGAAAATGCGATCTTCGGTGCTATGTCCTTGAAAGTTTTATTCTTTAGCTATCGTTTTCAAGCCACATTACAAGCTAATAAAGTCCATCGTTGACTTATTCCTTCATGACAATCCAAAGTGAGTATTATGCTCATAAGAAATCCATCAATCATTTGTGATCATAAGGGTATAACCAGTTTTCGCGTGTTTAGCTATCGTTCTTACCCATTTGTTGCGAACTTAAAGCTTATATGTTGACTCAATTTTCTTAAGAAATGAAGGTGACAAACTATTTGCTTTCATTAAGATGTGACATTGAATGGGTTACATACAACTGGGGCACAAAAATGAGACAAATTCTGACCTCCCATTTCCTTAGCCAAATCAGAAATAAGATCACTGGATTGCTCCTGAAAAATGAGCCAATAAATTGTGATCCATTACCCAAAGCATTGATCTTTCATAATTTGGCATTATTTTGAGAAATTAATCATGAAATTTCCTATATGAGTTAAGCAAGACATTCAATTTCCTTCACATTGTATAGGAAACACAGTTTCTTACTTGGAAGGGCATCCAAATCAATTTTTGCAATCAAATGGGCCCACACTGGGGCAAAATTTTTATTTGCAAGATTGCGTAAAATAAACCCACACCGGGGCAAATTTTTCAGTCACACTACTCTTTCTATGAATAGTAGTTGCAATTTTTTTGAAATTCAAGTGCATGTCATATTTTGGTGAGCCCCTGTGCAGGTATTCATAGTTGAAATCGACGAAAAAGCATCTGGTGATGTGGGAGGCCGATGCCGAAGAAAGAGAAGAAAGAAGGGAAAAGGGCCCTACACTGGGGGCAAATTATTTTGAAAAAAATTCTCTCGAAAAATCAGAAAAATTCAAAAAATTCAAAAGTCAAAAATCAAGTTCAAATTCTTGTTTCTTGGAAAATCAAATTCAATTTCTTGACCGCTTTTTATCTACGTTGGGACCGGGTTTTATCCCGCTGACCGCTTATTTCGGCAGGACCGGGTTTTATCCCGCTGACCGCTTACTTCGGCAGGACCGGATTTTATCCCGCTGACCGCTTATTTCGGCAGGATCGGGTTTTATCCCGCTGACGCGCTTATCTCGGCAGGACCGGGTTTTATCCCGCTGACCACTTACCTAGACAGGACCGGGTTTTATCCCGCTGACTGCCAACCTCGGCAGGACCGGGTTTATCCCGCTGGCCGCTCACTTCGTTGGGACCGGGTTTCATCCCGCCAATTCTCTCGGCAGGACCGGGTATAATCCGCTGACCGCTTATCGCATTGGGACCGGGTTTCATCCCGCCAATTCTCTCGCAGGACCGGGTTCTATCCGGCTGACCGCTTTTTATCTACGTTGGGACCGGGTTTTATCCCGCCAATCTCGGCAGGACCGGGTTCTATCCCGCTGACCGCTTTTATCACGTTGGGACCGGGTTTTATCCCGCCAACCTCGGCAGGACCGGGTTCTATCCCGCTGACCGTTTTTATCTACGTTGGGACCGGGTTTTATCCGCCAACCTCGGCAGGACCGGTTCTATCCCGCTGACCGTTTTTATCACGTTGGGACCGGGTTTTATCCCGCCAACCTCGGCAGGATCGGGTTCTATCCCGCTGACCGTCCACACCCCGTCAGGCTCAGATGTTATCCCACCGACCAATTTATCACACTGGGGCAAATTTTTAGATAATTTTTCAAACAAGTCTTATACAGTTCTTCATTTTACATTTTCTGTTCGGGTCTATCCCGTGGGTCTATCCCATTTAAATTTCTGTTTGGGTCTATCCCATTTACATTTCTCTCTGGGTCTATCCCATTTAAATTTCTGTTCGGGTCTATCCCATTTGCATTTCTCTCTGGGTCTATCCATTTAAATTTCTGTCCGGGTCTATCCCGTTTGTATTTTCTGTTCGGGTCTATCCCGTGGGTTTATCCCAATTTTAAATTTCTGTTCGGCTCTATCCCAAATTCAAATTTCTGTTCGGGTCTATCCCGTGGGTCTATCCCAATTTTACATTTCTGTCCGGGTCTATCCCGTGGGTCTATCCCAATTTTAAATTTCTGTTCGGGTCTATCCCGTGGGTCTATCCCAATTTTAAATTCCTGTTCGGGTCAGTCCCGTTTTAAATTTCTGTTCGGGTCAGTCCCAATTTTAAATTTTCTGTTTGGGTCAATCCCATTTTAAATTTTTGTCAAAAGGGGTCAGTCCCCATTTCTAAAGCGTCCATTGTTCGAGACGCTCGTAGCCGAATAACACAGGTGAGCATTTGGTGTCTACTTCTTTGTCTCAAGTTTTTCCAAAACTCAGACAAAGAGGGGCAAACTGTAGACACCAAATTTTTGGTTTCGAATTTTACTTATTTAATTAGTTTAATTTGAGATTTATTTATTTCAATTTTAGGTTTTTTTATTTGATTCTTGTTTCGTGTCTCTTATTTTAATTAGTTTACGAACATTTATTTCATTTATTAATTCAAAAAGGAAAAATCATGAAAAAAAGGCAAAAGAAAAATCATGAAAAAAGAGCAATTTTGTTTTATTTGGCTTTATTTATCTATTTTAGTCATTTCTACTTAATTTATCTTTTATTTTTGCTTGGTTCATTTAGAAAAAAAAAAGAAAAAAAGAAAAAGGAAAAAGTGAAAAATGAGAAAATGAAAAATGAAAAAAAAAGGAAAAATGAAAAGTTGCACTTTGTTGTTTCTAGTTTTTTTTTATTTTTATCCAATGTTAATTAAGTTGTTTTTGTTATTGATTTTTTTTATTATTATCAATCAATTTTATTTAATTAAAGATTTTAAAAAAAGGGTGGATACGCGACTTGCAAGGAAGGGCTCTTAGCAGCCCCTTAGCTGCAAATATGGAAGAGATGCTTGAGGGTTTAAGGTGGGGCTGCAGTATAAATAGAAAGCTACGGATAGAGAGGAGAGGGCCGAAAATCTGGAAAGGAAAGGAAAAGAAAACAGCAACGGAGTAGAGAGTATAGAGGAGGTTTTTGGCTAAAAAAAGAAAAACGGCGGCTGAGAGTTAGAGAGTGAGGGGGAAGGAACCACCGTGAAGAAGAAAGCTGAGGGCTGAAATTGAAAGAAAAACCAGAAAGAGAAGGAAGAACGGCTGAGAGAGGGTTGGAGAAAACTAAGCAGAAAAAAGGGAACCGAGAAAGTTCTCGGCTGATGAAGAAGAAATCTTCTCCGCAACTCCGTCGTTCCGAGTGGTGAGCGGTGAGCAGCACTCTGCTGGCGGTTGGTTCTCGAGACGAAAATGCAACGCGGGGGGCACTCCCAAGCATCGGCAGACCATACATCATCCAAAGCAATCAAGAATCTCTTGGACTGCAGGAACTCGTAAAGCTTCTGAGCCAAGTCCAAGTCTGGAAATGAGGCCATGTCATCCCTGGCTCGGCAGACATGTTGCAGAAGAATTCTTCTGGTGCGGAAGTCCTTCCCCACCGAAGCCCAGGCAAAGCAATCAAAATGGCGGTGGACGGAAGAATCCCCATATACCTTTTGGGCGAGAGTTGTCTTGCCGATTCCATCCATTCCGTATATCTGTGACGCCCCGGAAAAAAATGAGTTTGAGAACCCGAAAATTTTCTAATTTTCTAGGGTTTATTTATTTAATCGCCCGCCTTTTCTACATTTTCTTGATTAGAAAAATTCCCCAGATAAAGTTTATGAGCAAAGATAGTTTTAAAATGATTTTTCTAGTATCGATTAGTTTTTGAGAAATTAAGAGCGTATTTTGAACGTGGGACCCGCAAGTGCGGTAAATGTAATATATTTTTGATAACTTGTTGGAGTTTTGTGCTAAGTGATATTTTTCTACAAGGTGTTAAGAGATATTTATGGATTGGTGTGAGAGGGAACAAAGAGATAGAGATTCATTATTTAAGTGACAAGTGTCGCTTGGCCATTGGGTGGAATTTTTGACTTTTATGCCATGTCTTACCATTTGACTTAATAAACTAAAACTTTACCAAAAATTTGCTCCATTTCCAAGCTTCATGGCCGAACCTCTCTCAAGAAAGGAAGAAAGGAAAGCTTTCATCTTACTTCTTCATTTCTTGCTTCAATCAAACAATTTAACCGATTAAACTTGGATTTGCTCCATAAAAACCTTTCTCTTGGTAGTATTAAGGTGTGTAGTGAAGTGGTTTGAGAAGCAAAGGTGCTAAGTTGGGTCTTTTCTTGGGTTTGTAAGGTAAGTGACTAAGGAACCTTTCCTTTGATCTTGATAATGTTCAATTAGTGATTGGTGGTGGTTGAATAAGTGATTTTATGGTTGATTTCCTGATTTTGGTTGAAAATGATGAAGTTTTATTATTTTTTGTTCCAAAGGTTTGTGCAGAAAATTTTGTTTTCCTTCGTCTCTTTCCCCAGATTTTCTTTACTCTTCTCGCTTATTCCTCACTTGGTTCTTCTTTCTTTCCTCAAACCCTCAGCGTAGTTACCTCTCTATCTTTGATCTTTCTTTGCTTTGTTTTCTCCCATTTTCAGCGCAAACCCTCACTCTCCCTTCGTAGCCCTCTGCCCAGTTTTCAGCCGTCAATCTTTTATCCCCTCTCTCCTAAACTCTCTCCCGCGGCTCCCCTTTCTCTTGGCTTTTATATGAGCAAACCCCAACCCTAAAACTTCAGCAACTTTCCCTGTATTTGCAGCTAAGGAGCCGCTCGATGATCCCTTTGCAAGCTGCGGCAAAATGCAGCTTGCATGCCACGAGCATTTTTTTTTTTTAAAAACAACTTGATAATTACAGAAATGATAAAATAAAATATAAACAATAATAATAACAAAATTACACAAACCAGGTAATAATAATAATAACAAAACAAAAATAATTTTAAACAAAAAAACTAAACAAAAATGGCCATTTTTTAATTTTTAATTTTTTATCATTTTCTTTTTCTCAAAATAACTTAATAAAAATAACTAAAGTGCCCAAAGATTGAATTTAAAGAAATAAACATATTTTTGTGAACAAATTTTCCTTTTTCTTTCTTTCCATTTTTCCAAGCCAACTAAAGCCTATTTTTTTTTAAATTTTTCTTCTTTTTCCTCTTTTCCTTTAATTTTCTCTTTTCTCTTTTTTTCGATTTTTCATTTTCATTTTTCCTTCAAGAAAGCATTGAATAAAAACAAAATGACTAAAACATATTTTTGATGTTTTCCTTTTCTTTTTCTAAAAACTCTATGCTAATCTTAAACTTAAAAGCTAAAACTAAAAACTAAAACTAAAAGTAAATAAGAATAAAAAGCAAATGAAATAGGTCAACTAAAAGGGCGAAAATGAATAAAACTAAAATATCATAACAACTAATAGTGCAAAACACACAATAACGAACTAAAATGCAAGCAATCTAAAATGAAAATCATGAAATAGATGATACATACAAATTATTCAAAATTTGGTGTCTACAGGGAGTTAAGGTGAGAAATTTCGAGGACGAAATTCTTTTAAGGGGGAGAGAGTGTGAGAACCCGTAAATCCCTAATAATTTTCCTAGGGTTTATTTCCCTTTAAAGACACGTTTTCTGCATTTTCTAGCTTAGGAAAATTTTCCTGGTGAATTTTATGAGCAGTTATAGTTTTTAGATGATTTTTCAAGCATCGGAGAGTTTTTGAAAAATTAAGAATGTATATTGGACGTGGGACCCACTAGTGCGAAAAGTTCGGAAAAATTCGGCCAATTAGGTTAAATTCCGGATACTGTGTGAAATTTATCGGGTGTTAAGAGATAAGTAGAGTGTGTGAAATGATTGATGTGAGAGGAAAAAGAAGGGATAGGAATGCATTAATGGTAGTGCCAAGTGTCACCATCTCATTGGATAGGACTTATGATTTACTATTCCATTTTTTTTTTGACTTTTGACCAAGAGGTTAAATATCTTAAAATTGCTCAAAAATTACCATTTCTTTCACCATTGTGGCCGGCTCTCTCTCTTGCAAAGAAGGAAGAAAACTTCTTCAATTTTCAAGTTTCCAACTAGCTCAAATCATCCAAACCAATTGCCTAAAGTTGTTTCTACTCCATAAAATCTTTCTAGTTGGTGTTAGTGGTTGGTTTGGTGAAGTTTTTGGAAGAGCTAAGGTGTTCTACAACTCCCTCTCTCTTGTTTACTTGGTAAGTGGTGATTGACTATCCTCCTATACTTAATGATGCTTAATTTGTGCTTAATGGGAGCTTTAGTGATGAAATATGTGGTTTATATCTTGCTCTTGGATGACTTGATGAAGTTTTCCATTTATTGATGAATTTTCTGGTTTAATGTGATCATGATGTTGTGGTTGTTTATGATGGTTGGTAATGAGGGGTAATGACTCTAGTAGGTGTGAATTATTGATAATTGTAACCAATTTTGGGTTTGGATTGAAATGTGAAAAGTTAGGGTTTCATAACCCCCTTTTCTGTCTGGTTTTGGATCATATGGTTAGAGGCCGAATTGGCCTTTCCTTAAAACATGAAAGTTGTAGGTATTGATGGGTTTGAGGTGCCTGTAAAATTTTAGGTCATTTGGAATAGTGTAGAGTGAGATATGTCGATTTTACTGTGGCTGTTCTGGGTTGATCAGAATGTGAAAACTGCACTTGTAATTGACCGTTTTGGCTGGAATTACTTTGGATTTGGATGTTGGTGTCTTCTGATGAAATGTAGATGGATATCTTAGCTACCATATTCCCTTGGAATCAATGCATTTGGACCTGTATAGACTGAGTTAGACTAATTACAGCATAGTGTGAGTGGTGAACCTGCAATTACGGTTCTGGTTTGGTATTCTGCATTTTGACCTAGTTGTGCTAGGATTTGGACTGAGTGGCCTTCTACATTGTTGTAGCCCTATCTTTTAGCTTCGAGATGGTGGGTTTTACACCCTCATCCGATAATCGTAGTGAATTTGGTGCCATTACCGTAAAATGAGGTCAAACCCGGTTTCCTTATCAAGGCTTAAGTTAAAGCCATTCCTTAATTTCTGGTTTGCTATCATGCTTGTATATGTTTATAAAACCCTATTGGGGTTGTAATTGGCATTGTTTTATGACTCATTATCGAGTCTCATTGTAATTGTTTGCATGTTCTAGGGCGTGACGGTAGTTCACGACGTATTGGTGACCGTGGTGCATGAAACACCACTTACTTGACTGGTGAGTATACTACTCACTTAAATGTTACAGTGTGGCTTTGTTATATGTGAAATTGATGCCTTGAAGGCTTATTTGGCTATTGGAAGTGATTGAGGTGAGGGTGTACTTGACCGCCCTCACCTCCTTGTGATTTCATTCATGACTGCTTACTGTTTTACTGAAATACTGCACATGCAATATGAGACATTGAATTACTGTCATGGAAAACTGATTTGGTGTCATTTGGATGAATATCCAACGGTCTTACTATATCACTGAGCTCAACCCCGTTAGGTAGTCAATTGAATCGAGCCGGCGAGGGCTTGGTCGTGAAAATTGACATGCCACGGGGACTGTACTGGGGAACTTTGTAGTAATGAGACTCTTGGTTCCGGTATAATCGAGTATTACCAAAAGCTACTGACTGGAGTGCGGGCCCGGTTGGGGTATGTTGGGTGGAAGGAATAGAAGTAAAGTGAGGTCTACGGTTTGGTACTTTTAACATTGACGGAGGGTCAATGAGGATGGATCAAGAATATAAGCGAGGAAATGGGCTCTTGAGAGCCGTCCGTATCCTTTCCCTAATTTGATTTACTTCTTATTTGCATACATGTACTGAACGGTTATGCTTATGTGATTTTGGTTGCTTATGTGGTAGTAACTCACTGAGCTTTAGTTCACTCCGTTACATTTGTTTTCCTTACAGGAAATGACTATTTTGGGAAGGTTTTGCTAGTTGGTTGTCAAGTTGAGCATGTAAATGTATTTGAATAGCTCCTTGAGGGTGAAAACCCTAAGTGCTTTGTTCCAACCAATGTTTGGCTTGTAAATGACTGTTTGCACATGTATGGACTAGTTGGATATTTTGGTATGCCGTTTGGCTTGTAAACGTTGGAATTCCATGTATATATGTTTGGATGATGTTTGGTTGGATTTCGGATCGATACGCATTTCAAACGGAAAAGGAAAAAATTGGCGGGAATGAACAGGGCCGAATCCGGCCAGGAATCCGGCCAGAAACTGGCCGGATTGCCCTGTGGAAAAATGGATCCGGCCAGTTGCTCTCTGGCCGGTATCCGACCAGACAATCCGGCCGGAATCTTGGCCGGATTGTCGGCCGGATTGCGAAGGGAAATGAAATTTTCTGGAAACTCTCTGGCCAGTATCTGGCCAGGAATCCGGCCGGATTCTGACGTGTCCTGCACTGTTCATCTTCGGCTTCGATTTTCATTTTTTTTATTTTGTGATTTTGACTTGTTTGCGCGCGTTGATATGTTCCGGAACGTATTAGATCGACATAAACTAATCCGTTAGTCCTGGCGAGAGCTGGGCAGGCAGTCCGCTAACCCCTTTGGTTCGCCTTAGGGGAAGGTGGGGCTGTCACAAAATCACACGGAGAATAATTGCTGGAAGAAAGAGG